TCACCATGATGGCTTGACGAGCTTGCTCCAGCTTCACAAGAGTTCACAGGTTTCACCAGAGTGAGACTTGTAAACCGGAACTAGTGAAGCAACGAAAGTGCAAAATGCCCCCCCCCCCCGTCGCCGAACTGCGCCCACTGTGACTATAAGAAGTGGGATACTTGTAGAGGCTCAAAGTTAGCAACACGAGGGAGGCCTGTGCGGACGGAATAATCAACGACGTCACGGCTCCGTCTTTACGCCGACGAGGAGACTTTAATCTGACGGCCCTTTCCCGTCAAGGTGTAAGAAGGCAAACGCGAATAGCGTGCTTGGTTAGCTTCCTATTCTCCCTAGCGTTAGTCCCGCGCCGTCGCAGGGTCCGCTGTTCTTGTTAGACGTCGCCACTTGTTCCGATCCACTGCATCTTCTGCTGTGGCTTTCACTTCAGTGAGGTCCTTCTTGATGACGCGTCCCTCCCGCAGGCCTCCTCAGCACGGCCCCATACCAATGCAGGCGCTGTTTTCGTGCCCTTAGCTGGACTGGAGCCGTCTGTTTGACCGCCCTAACGTGCTCGTTTCTGAATCTGTTCAGTCTTGCCCAGCCATAGGCCCAACTAACATCCCCATTTCGGATGAGTAGAGTTGCCTTAACGATTCCTGCATATTGGCCAGCACTCCTTGCCTTGGACCGCCAGCATTTGCAATGCACGGTGTTTGGACATGATCGGCCGCATAAGCTGGTCGTGTGGCGTGTTGCGTGTCTACGCGCATTGCCAGTTGGTTAGGCTCAAAGCGGAATCTGGTTGTCCTCGTTCTTCCAGCTTTTCATTTGCGCGCACTTTCAGAGCGACAAAAAGGGATATTTCTACATCTGCCGATCCCCTTCTCCCATGGTGAGGATGAGGATCTTCGGGAGTGAGCGTAAAGCGTATCTCAGTATAGCCCACCAGACTTGAAGTCCCTTGGCATTCACTAATCCATTGAATTTGGGCGAGAGAGATGTACCAATGCCTGTATCATAAGCATAATCATTCTAGCGCTTTCGACAGAAGCAGCAGTTGGTTCCGAGTAGCTTCATTCTGTTTAATATTGCATGATAGTGTAGTTACCACGGGTAGTTAGCGCGTTCTGAAAGGGTCGACAAAGTGCAGGCTGCGGCGCGTCACGGACCGGCGCGATTAGATGGGGGCTCCAGTCCTCGTAATGCCATCTTCTGCCCTAATTTTCACTTTGCTTTCTATTTTTTTCGAGGTTAGTTGTGTTATTGTCTTTACGAAGTACATTAATGAAGTGTTCTTCCGATTTTTTTAGATATTTGTTTAATTGTTTAGAATATTTGTTTAATTGTTTAGATGTTCGTAAAAATTATAGAAAGCTCAATCATAATTTACCTTGTGAAGACAAGGAACAACTTGAGAAAAGCAGCCAAAAACAGTGAAAAGTAGGGAGAAAATGACTAAACCAGGCCGGAAACAGCTGATCGCCGCCAACAGTTCCTACGTACGCGGTCGCTGCTGCAGCCGCGTCTGCGACCCTTCGCCGACCGCCTAATCAACTGCCCGGATGACGACTGTATGTTCAGGAGAATCAACGTGCCAAATGGATAGAACCGTAGTTCAGTGAAATTTCGACAAAAGGTTATGTAAGTAGAAGTCCTGCCAAAATTGGAACTTACAGTGTGAGTCTCTTGGTGATGGCTATCGAAGTGTAGGCGGCCTTACTTCGTTCGACTGCTTTTCGATCGATGTGATGCATTTGCGTCCACTGTTCCACTGACGTGGTCAGTGGGTGACCTAAAGCACTACTTAAGGTGATTCTGCGTAGTCTATAACCACTTTTTTCCGATCTTAAGGACACATTTCGCGATTACCGGATGGGCGGAGAAATAGGGCGGCTGCTCGTGCGCCGTAATCATCAATGCCTCACCTCTAGCACAGTAGAAGGAGTAGCGCTCCAACAACAAAGAGCATAATGAGTCTCTACCTATCTGATTATCGCGGAAGATACCTATGAGGTGTCGCAGAAATCGAAGTCCTTCTCTAGGACTTTCTTAGAAACCTCCGAAGTCCTTCTAATTGAAATGGCTGAGGTCAGGGGGTAGTTAGGCATTACGGCCGTTTACAGCCTTTCGGCCGTATGACCACAGCTTCTGCTAAATGGTTCGAGCCTTAATTATTGGGACAGTATAAAGACAGCCAGAAGAAGCACGCTCGTCGGATTAGGTTCTTTTAGACGGGCACGGTTCAACATTCAGAAAGGTTTTTGAAATAGACCAGGAAAAAGAAAAGAGAAACTTCAGATTTCGTTGAAGAATTCCGTTCACATGTGACCCTCGAGCTTTATGAAGCTCTCAAAATTCAATACCGTAGGCTATGAACCCACCAGAATGTGTGAAGCCGGGATCTGTGTAGTTGAACAAGGCGTGCGTTTCTTTTTTCGCTTCGTTCGCCGCCACCCAAAACAAGCCGTCCGGTATCCGATGTGATTGCACAAGATCTGAATAACGTTACAGTAATACAAGGATATATTTATGTATAAGGTGTGTAGTGCTCAGTTAGACAAAACTGAACCAGAAACTGCGCTTAGGGCCAATAACCTGACGAACACAAAAATAGGGATGTCATCACTAACCGTGGAGGTCCCACTGAGCAAAAACGCAATCTTCCACCTCTCAGAGAGATTATGATAAGTTTCAGGGCGAATTCTTTGGATGCTTGAACCAGAGGTACCGCAATCCTACGAAACTCCCAATTGGCATTAGTTCTACTTGGGTGTCTTATAACTTTCTTGACTTTTTGAAGGATTTCTGATAGAACTTTCGCTGTCGCAAACATATCGTTCTTTCCAGTTGAGATTAATTCCTCCTGGTGGGCAGATTCGCTATCGGTGGGTGGAGTCACCACGAAGAATGACAGTTTCAGCGCCCTAATTATACTCATAGGACCGCAAAAGTGTTACAACCTCTGCGATGAGAAGGATTTCCCTTTTCAGTTAATCGTGCTGTGGGTGCTCAAGTGATCAGATCTAATTACTCACTAAAGCATCAACTACGTCTAAGGAATCAACGAACGGAATTGCGCCAAACATTTGACTTCTACAGAAAATCGCAATGGCATTTGAAAGTGCGTTTAGCCTGTGCAGTGATCTAGTACAGCCGTGCTCAGGCAAGTGTTTTCATACTTACAGGCACGTCTAGCACCAGCGAATCGTCGCTGGAGGGATTGAAAGCCCGGTTGCTCGCGGTGGGTCCAAATGTTTGAAGCCCCTTAAGAACTACATTATCGACACCCCAGCTATTGTACAGTCTTGTTCGCTGCGGATGCTTGGGCCTTCCAGACGAACAGCCTGCCAGGCGACCATAACTGGCGGGAAACTGGCTGGCACCACGCCAAACACAGCCCCGCCGACACGCCCCTTCTTCCGCGGTGAACAAGACTGTACATGGCTTATTTCAATGTAAAATGAATTAAAATGGATCCAAGTATGTGAAAGGACTTACTACTTTCTCGTACAAACGGCGTCTCGGTTTTTGAGTCTTCATTCGGACACGGTAGGAACGACTTGCCACATGGTATGTTTGAGCCGATACATGATGGTAACAATAGTAATATCGGCCACAAGGCCATCTGAAAAAGAACATTCTTGAATATGTGCCCTAATTTCAAAAGAAACACCCTCGCGTCACGATGAAAAACGTAAGAGGCCTGAAAATTCTCTATTCGGACCTGTTTGGATCGGAAAAGGTAAAGCTAAGCGCCAACACTAGAGGAAAATTG